TTCCTTTGTCTCGGGGATGCCAGTTGTAGGGACCTGCCCGCAGGTTTTGCTTGTCCGTTTCTTTAATATCCAGCACCCTGTGCACCATGTGTCTGTGCTCCAGGTGCGGATTTCTAGAGCTGGTTGTTTAGCAGTGTTGGGCTTTCACTCCCTCCCCATTCCGACTCCTTTCTTCCTGATGGGTTCTCAGGTTGGGGGGGCGTTCGGGTCCCACTGCACTTTGGCTTGTATCTTACCCCCTTCTTGTGATGTTGAGTTCTCGCAGATGTAGATGTAGCCTGGCTGTTGTACTGTATCCACTGGTTTCTCTTTTAGGAATAGTTGCATTTATTGTATTTTCATAAACATATATGTTTTGGGGAGATTTCCACTGAACTACTCAAGCCGCCATCTTGGCTCTCTCCTCTTATACACCACTTTTTAAAAAACTTAAAAGAAAGAATAGATTTTAATGGTATTATTCCATTACTAGACCTTGCAGGAGGTTTTTCCCAGTTAGGGTTATAATGAGTTTGCTAGTCAGGGGCCAGAAATTGAATTTTGCCTTTAAAATAAAATACTTGACATTCAGAAATAAGTACAGATGATATAATAGTTAGCATTGTATACTTGTTATTGTGGGTTTCTAAACTGTATTAAGTACCATTATTTAATGGTAGCTTCAGAGTGCCTTGTGTTGCTAGGTTAAAAGGCAGTTGTAAAATTTCATGCAAAACTGCTTTCATTTGACCCAGATTTTATACTTATTTTTACTAATTTCATTGTAAATGTTTGGTGTATTAATTTTTAAAATTGTGCTATAAACTAACGCATTTTTTATCCTTGGACCTCTGATGAAGTTAATTAGATTTGTGTATAGAAATTGTATTGCTGCCAAAGATGGTCAATGCTTTATCATCCATTAGTCATTGTTTTATTTACAGGTAGATCTATAATAATGTCTTAAGGAAGCTGAGTAAGTCCTTAGTAAAATTGCTAATTTTTTTCAGCAGAAATGTTAACATGCTAATTATTGATACATTACCAAAAGATTTCCTTTATATCTAAAATACAAATGGCAAGTATTTTTCTGAAGGATAAATTTGCCATGGATTTTAAATGTTTAAATATTTATGCATATTAAATTTATTGATATAGCTTAAGTCTAGAGCTTTTGGTTATATTTTCTATACTAGAAACACTCAGAGGACCATTGGTTGATAAAAAATGTATCCAATTCACCCCTCCCTTAGAAAACTCTGTAATGTTGAATCTTAGTCACTTAAACGTGATTGTTTAAACCATCTCCAGATCATTGGACGGGTGATAAGACATTATGCCCTCGATATGTGTCTGTTGTGCATAATGATGATGATATGAATTAAGATATAAGAAACTCACACTTTTCTCACTAAAATGCTCACAATGTGGCCATGGTTACACAACTTTAATGTTTGTATTTTTAAGATGATTTAGTTACCTGTATCCTTTTTTTTTTTTAAGTTACTTCAAGATTACATGAATATCACAAGGATAATTCAGAGTACCCATCATCTGGATGCCCCACTTGTTGACATTCTGCCACATTTGTTGTATCTCTGTTTATCTGTCATAAACTCTTTGGTGGTATTATTCTGAACAATTTGACAGTAAAATGCAGGCATGAAGTCCCCATTACCCCTAAATACTTCTGTTTGCATTTAAAAAAGCATAGACATTGTCTTATATATCCAAAGTATACCATCAAAATCAGGAAATTAACATTGATACAATATGGCTCTCTAACCCACAGCACCGATTTTAATTTCACTGATTGATCCAATATTTTTATATATCCAGATCCAGATTACACATAGCATTTAATTTCCATGCTCTACTATCCTTTAGCCTTTCTTGTCTTTTGTGGTAAGCATTTTGTTTAAAAAAAATCTTAAGGTTATATAAATATCCATTCCTCATCAACATCTTTCCCACTATTAAGCATACACATACCATATGACACATTAGTATCATTCCTAGATATTTAGCCAAGGGATGTAAAAACTTAACATTCACACAACAACCTATACACAAATGTTCATAGTGGCTTTATTCATAACACTAAGAGCAGCTAAGTGTTCTTTAGTTTGTGAATAGATAAACTGTTCCATCTGTACACAAAATGGAATACTACTTGCAAAAAAAACGACTACTACATCAGTAATATGGAGGACTCTCTAAGGCAGTATGTTCTTTGAAAGAAGCTAGACTCAAATCATTAAATACTATATGATTCTATTTATATGATGTTCTTAAAATGCTAAAATTTAATAGGAACAGAAAACATATCAATGATTACTAGGAGTTGGATATGAAGGGAGGACTAGGTTATAAAGAGTCAGCACAATTAAATATTTTGAGGTGATGGAACTGTTCTGTATCTTGGTTGTGGTGGTTACGTGACTAATTTGTCTAAATTCCTAACTGTATACTAAAAAGAGTGAATTTAAAAGTGAATAAAATAGAATAAGTTATCTTAAATTTTTTTCACTCACTGGTTTTAGCATTCATTCAAAGTTCTTGCTTGAATTAGATACTATTGTGATGGTTCCCAAATGGTATTTTCTAATTAATTTTTCCTTTTACACTTACTAGTTGGCACTCTATTGTAGGGTAAAGCATCTCCCTTTTCCAGCTATTTACTCATTTATATTAATATGGATGTGTGGATTCTTATTTTCAATGGACCATAATTTGTTACTCTTATATTATTATTTTATTGCTCAAATTTTCAAAAGTTTGACCAGAAAGAGCCCATTCCAGGTGATTTTTGTCACCACCATTCTTTGGGCACTTCTCTCAAACTTCCTTTGCCCTGAACCCTAATATCAGCCATGTTTCCAAGAGGCCCTCATTCCTTTCAGTGGCACATGATATTTAGAAACCAAGATCTGGGTGCTCGGTATGTTCATATCCACTGGGATGGTATTGTTTTTACCACTTATTGGAGTACAGAGTTACAAAATATATCTCTATATATATATACACACTTACATACACATCGATCTCTGTTTCTCTATCCATATATATTATAAACCATGTGTTCACACCAATACCTCAATTCAATTGCAACACTATATAGTTTATTCTGTCCTTCCCCCTTTCTGTATTTGTACCTCTTTTCTAATTATGAGAAACTTGACTGTCATTATCTTCAATATACTAATATACTCAATCCCTTGTATGTAACCAGTCATCTGACACTATGAGCAGTCCCCTAAGCTTCGTAGATGCTGACTCACATCTACTGAGATTTCTTCCCATCCCATCCTACCTCAGCTAGCTTTAACCACACCAGCCCAGGACAGATGAGATCACTTGGGTGAGCTTTTCAAGGAATTTACTTGTGAAGCTCTTTTCCTATTCTAACTTCTAAAAGTAGAAATAGTATATATGAAGTACAATATGGAAGTTTGTTTTTCATGAGGAAGAATGACGGTCTGTCTTGAGACTATTCCTTTTCTGTGAACGTAAGTTGATTTGCTTAGTGAGTACTTGTGTGCAGAATACTAAGATGAGGTGATGAAGGGGAGAAAACCAAAATTTTTCCTCCAAGTGTTCAGTTTAACTTAGTTCGTAAATCTACTGATGCTACTTTTGTTAGGTTTAATGTTCTTCATTTTTTTTTGCAAATAAAACACAACAAGCTGGGCTATGAAGTCAGCAAAATATTAGTACCAATATTTTTAAATTATATATTCACTTATTTCTGTGTGTCCTGTTTCTTCTTAAGGCAAGCCTGAAATAGCATGTGAAAACCCACGTTGTACTGTGGTACCTTTGATGCAGCCTGCTCTACATATTGCAGACAAAGACCCAATCCCTGAGGAGCAGGTAAGGGTGAAAATGTCTTCCCCCCCCAACTTAAGAGGAATTTCATGTACACAGCTTATCTAGCTTTCTCTTTTCTAAGTGATATGGATGATTGTTGGATAAGCTGTTGAATTTGTGTTTCTAATGAACTATAGAATTACAAGCATAGTTTTTGAATTTACATCAAGTTATTAGTTTTTAGTGCCTTGAATTTGAATCCATTGCATCTACCAGCAGATTTTTTCTTTTTTCTTTTATTAAGGTGTCATTGATATACAATTTTATGAAGGTTTCACATGAGCAACATTGTGGTTACTACATTCACCATATTATCAATTCCCCCCCACATGCCCTGTTGCAGTCACTGTCCATCAGTGTAGTAAGATGCTATAGAGTCACTACTTATCTTCTCTGTGCTATACTGCCTTCCCCATGCCCCCCCTACATTATGTGTACAGCAGATTTTCTTGCTGTTTGTATCTAATTGTCTATTTCTTAAACACTTAAGAGTGATTAAACACATTAAAAATCAATGCATTGGCAAGAAGAAAACAAATCCTACCATTTGCAACAACATGGATGGAGCTAGAAGGTATTATGCTCAGTGAAATAAGCCAGGCAGAGAAAGACAAGTACCAAATGATTTCACTCATTTGTGGAGTATAACAACAAAGAAAAACTAAAGGAACAAAACAGCAGCAGACTCAGACTACAAGAAGGGATAGCGGTTACCAAAGGGAAAGGGGTGGGGAGGGTGGATGGAGAGGGGGTGGATGGAGAGGGAGGGAGAAGGGGATTAAAGGGCATTATGATTAACACACATAATGTAGGGGGATTATGGGGAAGGCAGTATAGCACAGAGAAGACAAGTAGTGACTATGGCTTCTTACTATGCTGATGAACAGTGACTGTAATGGGGTGTTGGGGGGGACTTAATAATATGAGTGAATATTGTAACCACAATGTTGCTCATGTGAAACCTTCATAAGACTGTATATCAATGATGCCTTATTAAAAATAAATAAATAGACAAAGCAAAAAAAAAGAAATCAATGCATTGGCAATGGGAAGCTGGAAATGTGAATGGTGATTACCAGTATGTATACATATGTAAAAATTCTGTGTACTTAAGATTTGTTCATTTGACTACATGTATGTTTCACCTCACTTTAAAAACCATTTCTGAATGATTGCATTAGATATTGACAAAGACTTCTTTTGCTCATGCAAAGGAAAACTTTCCCTTAGGTCATGCTGTCTATTCAATATTCTTACATTGCAAAGGGAGACCAACCCTACTTAGTATAACAAACAAGAAAATTGTTAAAAAATAAAAAAAGACCTTTAGCTAGCTGACAGAATGTTTCAGAGGGCCAGATAATCAGGTTTGAACCAGGGTGGGATAAACAGCCAAAATCACTCACAGGAACTTTTCCAGTGGTAAAATCACTGCTAAGGCACCAAGCACAGACATTGCCACTTGTTCCATCAATGCTGAGTAACAAAAACTGCCTTCAGAACTCTACTTGGTCTGCCGCTATCCTTGCCTGAGAGGATTCCTCAAGATCCCTGCTTCTTTTATAATAAACTTCTGAATCAGATCTATTTAGAGGATCCCAAGTCATTTACCTAAACCATAATTGCAAGGGAGGTTGGGTAAGTAAGGATTCCATCCTTTGCCTTAGGGATATGGAGAACCATAAGATAAGGTTCTTATCCCGTCCTAGGAATAGTGTTCAGACTTCGTGGGAACTCAGAAAGGACCCCAAATGTCTACCACAAGAAGACTAACATACCTGACCAACTCCCAAAACCACCAGCCCTTTTCATTTTGGCTGGTTTTGACAGAGCTAATAATTGTAATCTTGACTAGATCTGTAGAATGGCATCAAAGTAGAAAAACAATGATTGCAATTGTTAAACTTTCTTATCTACAACCATTTTTAATATCAACCATTAAACTGTTTTTAAGATTTCAATTTATCTATAAGTGTATGTTTGCTTTGTTTGCCCAATTGTGCTTTAATGACCTTGCCCAAGAGTCCTCATCTTTTAATCTTGGAGATGGGTTAGGTGCAAATAAATTAATGCTTCTAGAAAATTGACTGCTTGAAATAGTGTTTTTTTCTTTCATTCATTTTCAGGAATTAGAAGCTTATGTAGATGATATAGATATGGACAGTGATTTCAGAAAGGATGACTTTTATTACTTGTCTCAAGATGACAGAGAGAGACAGAAGCGTGAACATGAAGAATCCAAGAGGGTACTCCAAGAATTAAAATCTGTGCTAGGATTTAAAGCTTCAGAGGCAGAAAGGCAGAAGTGGAAGCAGCTTCTATTCAGTGATCACGGTAAGCACTGACTTCAGAGTAGAAAGTTATTTCAATGTAGGGGATTTTTTTTTTCTTGAACTATGAATCTTATCTTTTAGCTATAGAATTCTTATGGCTTTAATTTTAGACATCCATCAGTAAGCATAGTACTTTTCCTTCTAGACATAAAATCCATTTGATCAATAAAAAAGTAGGTATACAGTCAAATTGGGAATGTGAAGTCACACTTTTTCATCAGTTATTTGATCTTTTACTGAATTGATTTTGGAATAGATAATGAGTTGAATAAATTGGAGTGTTTTAAAATTTAGTGAATTTGATATTCTAAACTCATCTTTATGTTAAATTGTAAATACCCTAATGAAGCATAAAGCTTAATAACTCTGTTCACTATTAAAACAAATGAATTAAGATCTAGGCCATTTAGCTACATCATTAAGATTACTTAATTGATTTGAGCACTTCAGTAGATGGGAAAAGAGGAGATTCTTCTGTGCACACTGTCTCTATACTTGGATTTCTTGGATTTAGACAAAGTTGGGTGATTGATAATACTGAAGATATGCATTAAACTTCTTTATGTCTCCCACCCTTCTTATCTTTAGTTGAACTTAACGGGAGGTGGGGGAGGAAATGAAGGGAAGCTTAATAGTATCAAACTAGCTAATTCCTAGTTGAGGAATTAATGGACTTTTAAGAAGGTAGAGTGGCATTTCCTTTCCATTTCAGAGTATGTGGAACCTCAAAATCAATTACCTTCTTTTTCCTTTCTCATTTTTACTAAATTATAGAGATTACTTCTGGAAAGTTCCTTGGAGTTTTCTTCTCTTCTCTTAGGAACCCTAGAGTTGTCCAAATGAACATTTCTTGATTTTATCCTTCCTCTTTCTAACCATTGTCCCCTTTATAGCCCAGGTCCTCATTGGCCTGTGCTTATATATTATAATAGCCTCCTAACTGACTTGAATTTTCAACACCTTTTTCTTCTAAGCTATCCTTAGAAGATGGCTTCTAAACTTCTAAGATAGCTTCATCCTTGCAAACTCTTTACAGATTTTTCTCAAACAGCACATTAATAATGGCTTTGTATCTTAAAACCAGTGGTTCCCCTTTCTTATTGTAGTAAATCTAAAGTCCTTTTCCTGGTTTCAAGCCTCTCTATCATATGAGTTCATCATATCCAATTATGTTTCTCACTATTTCTAATACAGAAAACTTCCTCTGCTTATATTTATCTCATTAGACTGTGGTTCCACCACGTTGGCTGCTTTTACTCATCAAAAACATTCATGCCTTTACGAAGAATTCTGTCTTATCCACAAAGCTGTCCTTTAACAACCTCTCCTCCTTGAATCCTCCTCTTACTACTCTAGCCCTGTTACCTCTCTTACTAACACAGACCTTCACACCAGAGAGGCATTGTAGGGAAATGAAAGGCAGTCTTAAATAGAAAAGTATATAATAGATTAAGAACTTCCCAGAAGCAGCAGTAAAGATAGAGTTCATGCAAACTGCTTGTTCATATTTGGGCCTAAATAAAAAAGAGATTAAGAGTATTATGGCTTAGGTATTATTGTTTTCTGTGTGTTTGATTTTTTTTGTCTCTTAAATCATAATCTCTTTAAATATGGGCTTTATAATCCCCCACATTTTTCATTCAGCAAATTATTCATCCAACAAGTAGTTACTAAGGCACTGTTTACTGCTATGTCCCCAGCACAAAGACCAAGAGACAAATCTCTGTATTCTTGGAGGCTTACATTCTAGCAGTGTTAACACATGTCAGTTGATCCTCTAGTAACATCAGTCTAATTAACAGTAAGTGGGAATATTAATCAACTTCTAATATATTTTGCATTCTTCAAAAACCAGCAGATTTATAGACTAAAAATATACATGAAGACTGGAAATAGCACTGTATATAAACTGTATCCTTTTTTATTGTTTAGTATTTTCTTCATGTAGCTTTAAAATTATCCTTTTGACAATATGGGCAAAGATATAACGATGAGAGAAATGTATCTCTTTTTCAGGTATGTGCTTTTGATAGTTTACATTTGAAAGGGCAATAATGTTGATTTAGTTTGTGAAAATAAGTAAAAAGCTGCTGATACCATAAAATGCTTTTCCCACGAAAACTTTCAGTACATCTTCCAGAGTTGTTTTCATCTCTGCCTACAGGGGTAAAGTCCGAATGGAATTAGAGAGGGAAATTCTGCAATGGAACCTGCTGTGGCCATTTTTTTCTGTTGCCGCTTCTCTAGTGGAGTTGCTGCAGCTTAGGGATCTGTTTCTTGGAAATGGACACACTTTCAAATTATTTTTTAAATAAACGCCAGATCTTCAAGAAGCACTTTTTCTTCTACCGTCATGCTTCATAATATATTGTATTGTACTAACCCCTCATACTGGGAGGAGAGACTGCCTAGCAAGCAACCCACTGCCTACTAACATCGAGAGGGGCTAAATAAAACTTCATTTTCCTTGAAAGGACAACTTCTGCCGTATGGATATAATATTTATGTATTATGCTTTGTATACTAGTTGATCTTGAATATAGATTTTATTTTTTATATTTTCGTGTGGCATTACAAAATGTATATAGCAGTTATCACTCTGCTTTCATAAGGGTCTTGTTAGGTGGTTGGCAAGTAAGTTGAATTATATGTTGCACTTTTTTCCATGTCATTTTAACTTGTAAATATATATGTATTGAAGATATTATTATCTGGATTAGTTTTGGCCTTTACCTGACACATCGGTGAAAACCATGCTGCTTATTCTTTGGTACAGTGGTTCTCAAACTTAAGCGTGCATCAGAATCAAGTGGACAGACTTAGAGCTGGTCCCCACTCGGTTTCCAATTCAGTAGGCCTAGGGTGAGGCCTGAAAATTTGGATTTACACCAAATTCCTAGGTTATTCTGATTGATGCTATTAGTTCAAGGGTCACACTTTGAGAACCACTTCTTTAACATTTTGAATAAGAGAATATATGACATGTATTAAAATATTCATCAAAACCCCATCTCATTTCATTTCCTAGGCATTTTGTCTCTTATAAAGTCCTCTGAATTTATAAATTTACATAGATTTTACTAGAAAGTTTTATTTAGCTTTTACTTATTTGTTTATTGTTCTTTATAAAAGTTGAAGTACTGGGAGTTTAAGTTAAAGTTTAAATCATTGCTGGGTTCTTAGTTATTATTTTTCTTTCATTTTTTTTTCCTTTCTTTTAAAGCTGTGTTGAAATCCTTGTCTCCTGTAGACCCAGTGGAACCCATAAGTAATTCAGAACCATCAGTGGATTCAGATATGGGGGAAGTTGGTAAAAATGATACCGAAGAGGAAAATAGTAAACCCTCCACAACTGACAGTGAACTAAGTAGTAGGACTGAATATTTATGTGAAAACCCTCTAGATGGTAAAAATAAAGACAATCCTACAAGTGAAGTCTTCTGCCAAGGAATTGACGAAAGAGTGTGTTACCAATGTGAGAGTGAAGATGAATCTCAGCAGACAGATACAGGTAGCCTGGCCACTGCCTATTCAACTCCCAGGGACTCTTTACAGCCCTCTATTAAGCAGAGGCTGGCACGGCTACAGCTGTCACCGGATTTTACCTTCACTGCTGGCATTGCTGCAGAAGTGGCCGCTAGATCTCTCTCTTTTACCACCATACAGGAACAGACTTTTGGTGATGAGGAAGAAGAACAAATAATACATGAAAATAAAATTGAGGTAGAAGAAAACTAAGAACCAAGATTTACATGAAGGATTTTAAATTATCCCTCTTATGAAAGTGTTTTAGCTTCAAGACTAGATATTCCACTGGAAAGGGAAAATGAGTGTGAGTTTACTATATATAAAGCTAAGATGTGAATTTACAGCAAGAACCCTGGTTTGAACAACTGATCTGAAAATAGTAGTTACTTGTAAATAGCAAATCTTTTAGGAAAATGAGAAAGGTAAGGGCTCTTTTGAATAAACTGCTGTTTTATTTGCAGCACAACTGATCAATCTTGGAAATTCTTTAAGTACTTTTAATAAGAAATGAATTTACATTTCTTGCCACAATTTGCTACTGTAAAATGACTGGGATAATTCTGTTGCAAGAACATTAACATTTAGTACGACTCATTTTTACTGTGTTCTCGCAGTTAATAACTGCAGCTATTATGTTACTAACAGCTTGTTTGTACTTTATTTTTGTTTATACCAGTCTTAAAGCTACAGGTTCTGAATAAAAAAAATTGAATTCATACAGTTAATGTGTACTGGGTTTTAGAACTAAGTAGTAGTTTCAAAAGTACTGAGCTTATGACATGTTTCTTACGTCTCCTTGTTCATATGTGTATTCAGTAGTTAATTATAAGAGGTCCTAATAATTTTAAAAGAAAAACTGAACTATTTAAAAAATTACTCTTCTAATTTTTTGTGTGTAGTCATCTTCTGTTCTTGTTGCAACTACAAGAGATGATGTCATAGTGGGATCCCTGTGGTCCAAGGCCCCATTCCCAACCTAGCAGAAAGTTCTTTTTTATCCGTTTGCCTACAGATTATTGGTTGCCGTTAGCACAAGTCTCCAATGCTGCTGATTTCTAGCCTGAGGCTGTATCTTCTCCACTTTACTGAGATTCTGGAAACATCCCATGTGTTTCCTGGAAAGCATCCTTATCTCCTTAGTACTTCATTTTTACAAACTACCTCTTAAAAGAGGTTGCTTTCCAAATTGTTCAATCTCATCTGTTTTGTATTGTGATTGCATTTTCAAAGATATTTTCAGGAGTATACTGTTTCTTGAAACCTTTAGCTTCTATGCACTGACATAGTTTATATAGACAATATTTGGAGAAAATGTAGGAAAACAACTTACACTGAGTCTAGACTGTCTTTAGAGTTAAGAAGCATATTTGAATTCCTGTAATTTAGCACTTTGAATGAGTAAAGAGGAGTAGTTTGGTTTTTTGGTTTTTGTTTTTAATAATCTGAGGGAAATAATTTTTTATCCTAAGGTAAAAAAACTTGGTTCTACTTTATATGAATAGTAGAGATTCTTTGTACTGTAAGTGATTATGCCTATTGCCAACAATTCTAGGACTTATCCATAGTTTAGTTCTTAGAAGCAGTATCTTAGGGTGGTCCTACTTTACTTATATTTAGCCAAAGTTCAAGAGAAAAATATTGTTTTGCATCTGATGATTATATTCTTAAATAATAAGACTTTCTTTTTAAATTACTTGGTTAGTTTGCCATCCCTGTTTTCCTTGGATTTAGAAGAAGCAATTATGGAAAAATTTTGAAATCTTTCATTTAATCTATAACCTTACACAGGAACAATTAGGGTTTAATAATTTTTAATTCTTATTTTATTTTTAACAGTTGGGGGAAAATATCTTCATAATGTTTTATCAGTTTATTCAATGTTCTCTAAAGTGGTACTTTTTAATTTTGAAAGTCTATTTTTAATTAGGAATTCCTAAACTTCCAGTCTGTTTTATTCACTACTTGTTACTTAGTTCCATGGAATTCTAACTTGTTGAAATCATGATATAAGGATCTTGAAACTTTTAAGTGAATGTTCTTTTTGTGTGTGTTTTCCAAATTTTTTTCCCTTTTAAAAAAAATATCTTCCCTGTGAAAATTCTTAATTTTTTGTTATAATACTCTAAAAGTCAGTGTTTCTCAGTTTTTTCATGGAGTACTTACATTAGAATAAATTGGAGATCTTGTTTTTGAGCTGCATATTTTGGATCATATGCTAGTCATTCTTCGTCAGTCATTTCATGGGGGAAACTTGTAATTGTGCTTTACAAATTTACAATGGTATTTTGACAGGGTAGTTCTTGGAGTAAAATCCTGACAGTTTTTAACATGAACATTTCCAGAGTTTATTTTACCAGGACAAGCCTAGTACTTAATGTAAGAATGATGAAAAAGTCTGTTTATTTAGGTCACACTTGAAGACAGGATTTTTACCTTTTGCCTACAGGTAGGAAAGTCATGGCAATAAATTATCTGGTGATGGTTATTGTACCTTAAATTCTTTTATTTTCTGCTTTCATTAAAACTCTACATATCTAGTACATCTAGAGCCAGACTTTTGCTGGTCTTTGATTTTCTATCCTCTACTTTTCACAAGTTTTCTATATTATCTGACTTCTTAAGTTTAAGACCTTGTTAAAATTGTACTTAACACATCTGAATGTATTTCATTAGGAACTGATTATTTCAAAATGAGATTTGATTTCTGAAGTTATTGGAGATGAGTAAGGGGAAAGACATTTAAGGGAAATTTCTAAGGAAATTTAAGAATAAGGTTGTAAGGCTTTAAAGCAGAAGGATAAGCCTGAGTCTGAATTTCAGATCTATCATTTAAAACCTACAGGTGCAGCTGACCTAATAACGTCATGGGGGTGCGGGGGGGTTTCTTTTTCAGCAAAAACAAAATTCTCTAGATTGCTAAATGATATTTACAATTTCTAACTTCTCAGAAGTAGGTAAAAAGGGTATCAACCTTTTGAGGCTGAAAAACAAGATCTAGTTATAAACATGTTAATAAAGTAGGTCAAAAAGTAAAAATTCAATTTTATTAAAAAAGTAAGTAGTAATATTGTTTCACGTAATAAAAGTGAAAGCTTTTAACATTAAAGCAAAAAATAATTAAGTTCTGATACATTTTACAAAATTTTAATTGGAGTTTTAATCAGAAGGGACTCTGGAGATCATTTCACTCTGGTGACTGACTTTTACTTATATACCATGCATAATGTAAAATATGAAATATTTTAATAACTTATTAGATGCCACATGGGAAGAAAAGCTCCAAGTGATTTGGTTTAATCATTAGTGTATTGTTTCCATACCCAAACAAAACAAGAAAACAAGAACTAAATACCACAAAAATGTGAAATAGCTTTTATGTTCATAAAACATAAAAATGACTCAGCTGACTTAACGGTTTGAAGTAGCTATCATGCCATACATGACAGTGAGACAAAGCATAAAATTGATTTAGTCTTCTAATTCTATTGATAAGAACATATCTATGCAAATCACACTTAAATCAGATGAAGGTACAAATATTTTAGGAGAGGAAATATGGGAGTAAATGCCCTAAATACGCTAAGAATCATTTATCTGTCATCATTGACAGTGACTTCCATATGTTATTTTTTCAGCTGAGGCAAATCCAATTTAATCATTGAAATTTTTTAACAGTTTAAAAGGAAATTTTTTAAAATGTACTTTCTACTTCTCTGCTTTTTCTAGAGTATTTAGAATATATATAATATAACTTTGTCATCTTTAAGAACATCAGTTCCTATCATGGGGTGATAAAAAGAAATTCACCCTTACACTGAATTCACCTACTGAGATATGTAATGTCTATGCCCCTTTACTACATGACCCTGCATTGCTATGCTTTTTGAGTTATGTCTGGTTTTCACAGTTTCTCTATCTTCCCTTATAATCAGCTGTCACTTTATGCTGCTGTCTTATGTGCCTGCCTCCTGCACTAGGCCCCTAATTTGCTGCTTCTAATCTGCTGTGGACTGAGAAACCAGATTGCCAAGCTTGCTAGAATTGTGTCTAAAATAAGAGTAAGTAGACTGAAAGAAAGCTAAGGGGCTTTTCTTGTCAGTGAAGTGCATGGGCTTTGTGGTACCTGTTTGGCTGTGCAATAGTATACTTATGTTTGCCTCTTAGTTCTTTACTAAGAACTTGCAAAAAATACTTGGTTGAATATGTGATTGCCATGTTTGAAGTATTCAGTTCTTATATGTTGACATTGCTAGAATTCTCCATTAATTCAGTATAAAAGAAAATGTAACTATCATCTTTGTATAAAACATTGTGTATATTTCAGGAAAATGATAACTATTTTGTTCTAGTACAGTACATTGTAACTAGTACAGTGCACAGACTTAAAACTTGGAGCACTATAAATGTGACTTGAATTCTGTTCGCCAAAATTTATATTTGGTAACTATTGGTTGAGACTAAACATGCATGACTAATTTAGTAAGAACTGGCTAACTGAATATTTAAGGAAATGAATCATTCTAGACATTCCACTTTTCTATAGACCTGAAATCTCTTTAATCATTAAAATTTTTTGGAATAATTTCTGAAGGAAATCTTTCTAAAACTTAATATGTATTACTGTCTTCTTAATATATGAATTACATTTTAATCTTTGTGATGTCAAAATGATCATTATTAACAATAGTTATTATACTCTGATAGACTAAATAGGCACTGAAAGCTCTGAGCCTCTTTACTAAATGATTCCCTTCTTCTGTCTTTTAAAATTTTCTTGTCTTTGTTTTCTAATAGTAGTTCTTATTCCCCCTATTTATTGTATGACTTGTGTAAGTGTGCCTGTAGCAATAGCCTTTCTCCACCTTCATAATGCTCCTTCTAGTCTCCTTTGGTTTTGGAAACCAAGTATCTAGCTAACCAGATAGAATAACTTTTAAAAGTAAGAGTGAATAGACTCAGTAAAGACTGAAAAATGGAATTATACTTAAATGCATTTTATGACATATACTATTCACTACCTATTTCATTGCTATCTTTAAAATAAGTGAAGTTACTAGATTAGATACCTACTCTCAAAATAGAAGAGTTGTTATTGTACAAAAGGAACCATTTTGTTTCCGTACTTTACCTTCTCTGTTTCTGTCCTTTTAATTTTTAAAAACTCAGTTTAAAACTAGTCCATTCAAATTAGTGTGTTCTCTATTATTTCCTATTTGAATTGGATATCACATGCTGCTAATAATTGCTTTGGCTGCATTGTTTTGGTTTTGTTTTTAGAGAAATGTATCTTCATTTCCAAAACATGAAGTGGGTTGAGCCTTGAAAAATAAGAAACTTTCATTATTGATACCACAGACAACTGAGAAGTAATAAGGTTTTTAGACTTTAGGCAGTTATACTGCAAATAATTCATTTTTTGTGTAGATTTTATTTTTTGCTTTTTTTAAAAATTTTATTTTGGTATCATTAATCTACAATTACACGAAGGACATTATGTTTACTAGGCTCCCCCCTTCACCAAGTCCCTCCCACATCCCCGTTCACAGTCACTGTCCAT